TAACAGAGGCCGCACTAGGACCGGAACGCAGGTACGTCGTTCCACAGTCAAACCCTTCGCGAGAAATGTCGTCTGATGTCTGTTTTTCGAGACACTGGTTTCTTCAAGCGACGACCCAAGAAACTCACGCCTTTTGTGAAAAGTGGAAACTCGTCCCTTATAGCCCCTCACCACACTCAGCCAGATCAATCCACTCATACCCGCCACCCCTCTCTGTTTCTTTAGAAAAGATTTTAATATTGCCCGACCCCGCCTAGACCTAGGAAGTCCAATCAGTCTCTACCATTGGCGTTTCAATCTGTCGCCTTTCCCACTCATATAATTCTCCTAATATTTGGTGAATGGAACAAAGTATGAAGCTCCTCACTGCGCACTTTTCTCCAGTTTCCTATCATTCCTTCCCTGAGCGCCCTCTTCTGGGACACTCTCAATCTGTGTTCTTTCCTTAACGCAAGAGACCAAGTTTCACACCCATACAAAACAAAGGTCAAACGACAGCCCCCCCCCCTCAAACCTTGGTACTTCACTCTCATTTTCTTGGTTCATTCTTAACGCCCACGCCCACAAGCAGTTATTAGTCACAGCAGAATTAACTAACTAACTGACTAGATTCCTCAGGAAACCCGAAGGTTCATCACCGAATTAACCAAAGCCCTCCACCGGACCCTGTCCTGGGCCAGCAAAATCCAGTCTCCTTCAACTCCTATCTCTCATTGATCCCGCTTAATATTATCCTCTCATCTACGTCTAGGTCTCCACAGCAGAATTAACCCTCCAAATAAGGACGAAGCCCGGTAACATTTGTATTTCTTGAATTACCATATTTCTCGGCCCACATTTGCGAAAAACCTTGTAGTGACCACTGACCAATATAAATTAATTTCATGCTAATCCCTTGATCAGGGCGTTTTCAAGTTACGTTATAATGCCAATATCATCTGCACGCGTTATCTACTTTCATTGGGCATTGCCTATATCTTTAATTAGATGTACAAGCCACGGGCTTAAGTCATAATTACATGCTTCATACGAGAAATTACAAACTCAATCAAGAGACATGAAACTCTTCAATACAATAACTAACCACTGTGACCGTTTGCTTACGGATTAATTTATTTCTACTAATTGAAATAATTAATACGAACCGAGAAATTAACATTTCCACTGCTGTCAAAACACGGCTATTATTAGAATCCAACGCGAAGTGATCGGGGCGATGATGCAACAGCATCAGTTCGTATCAGTTGATATTAATCTTTTGACATAATCGAGTCGCTTTTGAAACTCTAATTGCGACTAAAATCATTAAACACGTCGATTTAGTCGTTCGTGGTGCAGCCTGACAAGCACTGTACAGCACGCTCCATAAGAATTGATCGCAGTGAAATGCTGAATAAATTTGACACTGCCAATGTTCCCAAAACAAAAACATCGGACACAAAAATTGAAAATCCCGGTTGTATAAGACAAATGCAAAACCCGCGGATATCGGGGCCGGGGGGGGGGGGGGGGGGGGGGGCGCTACCTTCATTGTAGATTACGTGCCTTGATGCTCCTGGCAGTTTATCACTGTGGGTGCAACGCAACTGCTGTTTGGTAGACAAAATCATCATCAAGGCACTGAATATGGCCACAAATTCTGTTGGGGTCGACTTTAGACAGTTTTAGGAAGAGCAGGTTTCGTGAGAACGAAAAAGGTGAACGAGTTCGCTGCGCTGCGTGGGTGACGTCTTTCAACAGTCAAACATGCTGACTTATTTTAACGAAATTTGGTCATTGGAGGTTGTGAGGTGGGTCACAGTTTCGATTAAATGATTTGGCAAATAAAAAAGTTTGGAAAGTGGACTCCACCGTGAACGAGCGTTCTAAAGAAACAGATCCGGCTGATTTTCTGATAAGATTTCATTGCATCTTAACAAAGGCGTTACAGTCAGCCGGAGAGATAACTCCGCCGAGCAAAAAGCTCCGACCATATTTTTCGGTTCAGTTCGCGTTGACTTCACACAGCGACGGAAAGTACAAACAGCAACAATTCGGAGACAACGCAAACTTTGAGCAGAGAGTGCCTGATCTAATCAACATCTTCAAAAGTTCTTTGTTCGTGTAGAACTCACACCCTCTTACACTCCAGCACCACGTCTCAGACATACAACTCTGTAAGAACAGCAACTGAAAAATGGTGTTTATACAACATTTAAACAGTACAAGAAAATCAGCGAAAAAATATCATGAATTTCTTCAATTCTGCCCATTTTGTATTTGTGTCATAAAATGGGATTCAGATAAATGTTCAGTTTTACCCGCGACCCTCATATCTCAGAAAAAATAAAAGCGAGAGCCCACGATCTGTAAGAACAAATACCGAAACTACAGCATACACGTTTCGGGGGCACCGTCACACTGCCTTCTTCACTTCAACACTTCTATAAGAGTAGCAGCAGCAGCCTGACACTGTAAGTGCTTTATTATAATCACACGACTAATCACATTACTGAGCTGACAAGAACAAATTTAATCTCAGTCAACGTTTTAACTTCTATGCCGAATGGGGAAAACTCGAACCACGTGGCTGGCAACACGCAACACACGTGCACACGCGGTCAAAGAGAGGCAGAGAGAGAGAGATAGCGATACATTACACAAGTCGGGTTAAGCCACCAATTAGACTTGTGTCGAGATTACGGACTGAAGATTCGATTCGATTCCCTCTGCCCCCAACGTCCAGACCGGCGCTGGAGGCCACTCAACCTCCATCGGTTCCAGGGGTCCTTCCTCGGGAATTCACGACCGGTTGTGAAGCTATTCACTCATCTCGATCACACTTTCAGGTTAAGAATACGTGGAGCTTTACCTCCACGCCTACCATTCATCTGCATCACACGGTGCTTATTTAAGCACCAGGGACAACCCCGTCTTGTCCTGACGAATTCGACGGCGTCGTCTTTGAAGACTAAATAAAACATTGAGACGGAAGTTGGGCTCACGGTGAGAAACTTAGACTCCATAAAAGACGATAGATTAGCTGAACGTATTATCAGCTTCTGTTGGACTATGCACTGTGGAGCCTTTTATCGGGCACGCGAGTCCCAGGCGATGTGCCATAGAAACAGCTCCACTGAACGCGTTTGTTGGCATCGAACACCTACATTCGTTCGCAGGAGCCCTTAGTGCGTAATACATTTTCTTCAACGGCTCACAGGACACGACCACGGTTTGAAAGGGATCTTGAATCAAAGAGCCTGTTGTATCCAAGTTTTCCTACGATTTCTTCCCGGAACACGACAAACTTAAGAAACCCCAGAAGGTGGGATCGCTTTCTGGCAACAGTGGATTCATTATGACAGACTGAGATCAATAACTACCACGCCCTGAAATACGTATGGAGGAGTGGATGTATAGCTCCACGCATTCTTATAACCTCTGCACTGGACGGAGGCGCGGTCTTAAACGAGGTAAAACCAGAGAACTGATGACTTCCAATCCCACTTCAAAGCAAACGCTAAATACGTACTTACAAACGAATTCTCACGTACGACTTTGCTTTAAGGAATGCAATTGTGGGCCAACCAAGATGATGGAAACAAAACACAAGTGAAAAATGATATATTTAGCAACTGGCAAACGTAATTCTGGTCAACAACGAAATCCGTCGTCATGAGTCCATGACTCCTCCACCACGCCCAAACCTAACATCAGTAAATTAAATTAATAATAAAAAACAATTGCGGAATATTTACTTAACAATAAAATGCAGATTTATTTTGCATCTATAAAAAAAAATCTTTAATGATTACCAAAAGGTCAGAACACGTCACACTTACAAGCCCATTAAAATGCATCAAACATTTAAATACAATAACGTGGTACACTGATTCATTATGCAGCAGAACTGTCCTGTTATTTGGTAGCACTATGACCTTTTTATCCATTATCTAATATTTACAAACACCGAATCAATTCCAAGGGTAACTTCAAACGACAAACAGACACTTTAAAATTTTATGCCAGATACAGTCAGAAAAAAAACCCATTAAAATACGCATAAGTACACTGAGACAGACCCAAACAGTAAAACATGATAAGGCATCAACAAATACCAGTTTCCAAACTGGGTCCAAATTTGGAAGAGAAAAGCTTTAAAGTGGGGGTACAATGAGGGTCATATCAAAACGTTCGCGTGTTTTGTTCCTATTTCGTGGCTTCCAGGGATCGGGTGAATGAAGAGCATCCACAAAATAGCCCGTCTCCGATTTCCCCTTACATCTTTCTCTACGATATCGAACGCTTGTTAAATATTCTAAAAATGTAGTCACTCTGTGACTGAACGTTGCAAGACGCACGCATTCCGAAATGACATTTCTGACACAAGACAAGCTCAGTAATAATATGCAAGTAGCCAGCCACGGCTGTACCAGCTCCGTCCAATAGAAATTAAATATGGAGCATAACGCTTACAAATACGCTAAACTTTTAGAATAATTACTCAGTCACAAAGCACAGAAAGTTTCCTACGAAAAAATAAAGTGTGTTTTGCCACCAGGGAAACGATTCTGCTGGACTCTGGCGGTGTTAGATGAAGACTCAAATTTTATACAGACGCAGGTAGAACACACGCATGGACTTCGTATCACAAATGACAGAAATCAAATATTAACATCCGGTCATTCTAAGCCAGGTATGTCCTGAAACTCTGCTTAAAACTGAGAAAATTACAACTACCTGCATGCAACGTATTTGAAATACTGTTTGAATATTTTTTTCTAAAAATTATATCAATTATTTGATATTTTCTATTAGTGATAAACTATATTTTTCAGTGAATGTACTTTCCTTCCTTGAGTGAAAGTAATGTTAGGGAGGAGCCTCAAAGTGTCTGGGGTGTTGGCAACCACCTCTAAGGCAGGTCCACATTCATCGCTATGAACGTGGACACTTGTGACCGGTACAGTGGGCACGCAGCCATGGCTCTGAGGTCCCCAAAATATCTGTTGCGTTCCTACCTTTGCGAAGACGGCCAGGTGTTGCCAGCAGAACGCAAATGTGGTCCTTCACACTTTCTCTTCAAGCTCCACCGACACCTGCAAAAGAAATAGAATCAGCCAAATGTTCTAACTAAAATGTTTTTTTTAATGGTACGTACTGATCATCTGGCCACCGCCAAGTACATGTGACATCCTTTCCACCCGCATAATTTCCACAAAGTGATGGATTTAGCTGTCCGCTGGCGCTCTTAGCCTAGTCCGCTGATGGCCATGCGTTCGATTCGCGTCAGAGACAGAATCACTTGTTGTTTTTTGCATTCCACAAAGAATGGTCGTGTTTTGTTACCGCATACCCAGTGGCCCTAGTCTAGCTCCCACCTCAAAAGTTCGTGCATCCGCCATGTCGATATTACCAACTGTAAGAAATTACATGCCATCAGATGTGTCCAGCGACTCTCGATTTTAAATATGCTGATAGGCAGACAGACAAGCGCATCTAATCATCTGACGCTAGCCTTGCAGTTAACGTCGTCAAACAGAGAAATAATCTCTAGTGTAGTTGAACTGGTCTGGCCTTGTTATAGGAATGAGCGTTCATTTGCTTAACGACGCTTTCAATTTATCACTCGAGAAGCGTCGTTAAACAGAGAGTATGCGGCCTAATTTGAAAACAATCCCAAAGAAACGTCGTTAAACAGAGATTATGCGGCCTAATTTGAAAACAATCCCAGTCTCCGAGACTTCCATTTTCTGAAAATGAACATAAATGAAATCTGCCAAAAAAAATTGTACCCTACGGCTAACGCAACACGTTCCTCTTTTGTTTTATAAACCAACTGTTATTGATTTGCTTCGTGAGTACCGACGGACGAAGCTGCTTTGGTAGACTCAGCAGGGGTGTTAAAGCACTTAAAAAGCATGATGTCAGAGCCAGCAATGGATTCTTCTGGCTCAGGTCAGGAACTAGAAGTTTGCGACCCCTGGTGGACAGAGTACAAACTGCATAAAAGCCGGGAGAAGTATTTATCTACTCGAGTGAGTTTCGGTTTCTCAAGCAGGACTTTGCCCCGACCCCAACGTATGAAATCACCTGGACACTAACGTAATGCAGTAGAACTGGATCCACCGATCATGGCCGCCGAACTTGTAGGGAGTGCCCAGTATGCGGACCACTCAATGAAGGAAGGAAGGAGTTTCCGTCTGTGTCAGTGCAGCAGTTTAGAAGCCTGATAATTGTTGTTTTGTAACTGCGCTGTGTTAACAACATGCCACCTGTTCGTTGCAATCTCCTTTCTGGTCATTGACAACGCCTCGTATCTCAACACTCAGACAGACAAACTAAGTCCAAGTCAAGCTTCGACGCGCTTACGTTATGTTGCGTAAGGCTCGGTTAATTTTTGCTAATTTACAATACGTTAGATGAATTCATGACAGGTTACGTTAGGTTAGGAATGTTCGGTTAGGTTAGGATAGATTAGGTTGGGTTAGGTTAGGAAATGTGTTGAAAATGTTATGGCACCATCTCATCACGCCAATCACTCTTTGTCATGCTTGGTCATGTTTGGTCACGCTTAGTAAATCTTCGTCACGTTTCGACTTATGGTCATCCATTGTCATGAAGTGAAAGCACGTCACGCCTAGTCAGGCTTTGTCACGCTACGCCAATCACTCTTTGTCATGCTTGGTCATGTTTGGTCACGCTTAGTAAATCTTCGTCACGTTTCGACTTATGGTCATCCATTGTCATGAAGTGAAAG